TAGTTCTTACACAGATGATAAGGATGTAGCATTTATCATTAATACTCGCATGACTAAAAATTCGTATCACAAAACTAGATTTGGTGCTAAAAAACATGAGGCTGATATATATCCTTCTTATGATAGAGTTCAGTTAGCTAAAGATAGATGATAACCTGAAAATATTATTATAAGCGAAATAATTTCACTTTATAGGCAAGGTAAAGTCAAAGGAAGATGCCCAAGAGGCAAGTAATAAAAACTATAATCGATTCAGAGTACATCATTCTCGAAAATCATAACGTATTTATACAAATACATATTTTTTTAATTTCTTATTAGTGTCATCTGATCTATTAATTACAAGTTTAAGAACACAACTTAACAAATCAAAAACTAAATTACCTCCAGAAGCCATTAATTTACTTGATATCGAAAGCTCAGAACAGAAAAAAATAGAAACTTGTAACAGTGAAATAAGTAGTAGTTATTCTGAATTTTTATTTTTATTAATCTTTTTGTTATCCGATTAAATATCAAATAAATTAAATATTTGAAAATAATGCATTTTTTTTAAATTTCTTACATAAATGTTTATTGTTAAAAAATAAAATTATTTTGTTTGTAATATTTTCCAACTTCATAATTTCAATGCTTACTTGCCTCAACTGTATTTTCTAAACAGTTATCTATATCGAGATAAGTATTAAAGTAAGTTATTAAAATTAAAGTAAGAAAATGTTTGTGCATATTAAATCAATAAAAAAAATATTTATTTGTGAGTGTCGAACTTTGTTTGATAGGTGCTAAATTTTTGGCCAGCTAGAAATGCAATTCCTCCCACTGTGCGTCATTTAAATATTTGCTAGGGTAGGGCATAAAGATGACCAGACCAATAAGACGCATCGGTTCAATACGTGTTGGAACTAGGAAAACGCAAATAAATAAGTGGTATATTGCTCACTCAGACACTCTTACTATTAAATAACTATAATAATTTTTTCATTCATATAATTTTGACGGTCGACAAGTCACCAACACAACATAATAATGAATGCAGGTATACTCTATGTTTGAGTACCTAGTTCTGGGCCCCTAATGTAAAAATTAATGATAATTAATACCTAATATACACATAATTATATTATGAATATAAAATTGTTTACTAAGATGACTGAACAATTCAAATTCAAAGTATTAATTATCAAAAAAAGTAATTGTTAATAAAAATATGTTATTCATTTTTTTGTATAGAAACGAATTTATCAAGAAAAATTTATCTAAATGGATGAATTTTTTTATCTTAGATAATTTTTTAGATAAAATAAAATTATTTAACAAATTAATGCAATTTCGGGATTTTATCATAAGCAGAATTATTTTGTTAAAAAATTCTAAATTTTATGGCTATTAAATATTAAATAGAATGTAGCACATTGAGAAGTTAAATTTAGTTTAATATATTCTATGAATTATCTTAACATATTGATTATTATAATATATTATACTTCGTTACTGTGTTATTTCTCGAATAAATTGCTAATTGTTGATAATTTAAAAGTTTGTTATAATTATACAAAACAAAGATACAAATAATTAAGATAGGAGTAAATTTTAAATTAAGACAGTTATTCGTGAATTTTCTAAATTCATAAATCAAACAGAAAATCAGTTGGTCTACATTTTAAATTATCGAAAAATTCGATCGTATTTTAAGTAAATCATTTTTAAAAATATATCAAGTGCGAATACTGATACAAATTTTAAATAAAAATACCTTAAAAGTTTCAAAATTATTTCTAGATAGTAGATTAGGTTTGAGAAAGACAGTAAAAAGTGGCGGGATATTGTATTTAAAACTATTAAGCTCAGCTAAAACTCATAGATTATAGTATGGAGGTTAGAAAAAGAAAAAGAAAATTAGGTTTTATTAACATATTAAATATAACATATTATTCATTATTTATAAAATTCATAAGTCGAAAAATATCCACTGCTAAATGTCGAGATATATTTTATAAAAACTCAAATATATCCTTTTTTGTATCAACAAAGCAAAATCAAAAGTTTTAATTTATAACAGTATTCAAACTTTATATTATACGATTCATTCATAGATTAATTATGTAATAAAAGTTATAATATATAAAACTTTTAATACAGTTCAATAAAGGTTAATTTAAATTTAAATATATTGACCTTTTCTATTTACCATACAAGTTGTTTTATTATTTTAAACTTGATTTTACATTTTACAGTAATTTGATATTTTATACCTGAATTTAATAATTTATTCTCTAATATTATAATGATCACAAATGAATTGTTACAGCAAATCATTTAATTAATATCAATATAGTACAGTCCTTGTATATGTCTCAGTAATGTAATTAAATAATGACACAATATCAGTTGATTAAATGAAAATCATGAACTAATATTAGTAAAGATCATTTTTCTAAGGAAAAATCTTTCGCATATTCATATAATATAGTCTTAGGCTTTATAATTTGGTCAACTTCAAATAGTTGGGAGAGAGTCGAGAGAAAAATATAAAAAAAAGCCTTAGAATTTGGTACCTTTTGTAAAATATCATATTTTTCAGTATTATTTGTGTATTATACATATATTTTTGGGTGGTAATCGTTTCGGCTAAAGATGTAATTTTTTTTACCATCAAAACGAAAAAGGTTTGATTTTCGTTTCCGCAATATCTATTTCTACCTATATTATAGATATGGAATATAAGAACCTTTATTTATTTACAGTGTTATTGATCATCGATGTACTTTGGGATTCAGGATATATAATTTGATGTTGAATTTGATTTCATGCATATAAATTCCTACCTATTATAAAGAAATATAAATTGATTTCATCTATAACACGTTAACATTTTTAATTTCGAATATTTAAATTAATGATAAATTCAAACAGTTGCAACATAGGTATGCAAAAATCTGTAAGACACAAAATAAGAAACGATTAATTAATATAATAAACACAATAGACAAATTTAAAAATAAATAAATTTCAAGAAAAATATTTTTAAAAAAGGTAAACAAGAATTATTCGAATATATAAGCTATAGAATTGTCAAAAATATTTGGTTATAACTATATATTATAACAAACTTAAATTCATTAAAATTTAAACTTTTTAACTTTTATCTGAAAATTAAGTCAGACAAATGTTTGGAGGTCAATAGAAACCACCAATCGTGGTGGCTCCTGAGTAGCTGTAAATGATTCTCAATTTAGATTGATATGTAGAAATAGATTTGATGAATAATAAATTCAAACCTTTTTATTTTGGTGAAAACAACTGATGCCTATAGTTTTTAATTAACTTATAGAATAATAATAATTAAAGGAATACATTTTTTAATAACTTTTATGCGGTGGAATTTGGACTACATAAAAAAATGTAATGTATATAAAATGCTGTAGGTTAGTCATAATATGTTTATGTATATTATACGGTTTACTATTAAAAGTGAGTGTATGGCAGTTAACGGTTGTACACCAGAACCGACAATCGAATGGGCTATCGCTTATACGCACGGACGGCGTCAGACAAAGAACCCTATCGTAAAATAATTAAATCGTCGTATGGAAAGAAACCTAAGAGAGTGAGAGAAAGAGTGGACTATATGGTAAGGTTTGGAAGTGATGTGGAGGAAGGTGGGGTAACCAACTAGAGTAATAAATAATAAATATAACAATTACAAATTATATTAGATGATTGTAAAACAGAAGACAATATATATCATGAACTTATAGACTAAGTAAGTCGACCACATGCGGTCGCCTGTAATAATAATAATTATTAATAATAAAAGAATAACAATAATAAATAACAAATTGATAAAGGTGTACGACCTGGTAATACCAACGCAAAATTGAAGTTGGATAACGCTATGGTCGATAGCCAACCTGTCGCAACAGTCGGAAGGTTCCTTGCCGCGTATGTAGAGGGCGCCGCTGTCACAGGAAAAAGGAAATGATTAGAATATTAGTGATGTGCCACTTGAAAGGAACTACTGTATAGACAAAACTCAGTGTTCTACCGGTAAACGGACAAGTTTGACGACTGGGCGCTTGTAGACACCGTCCTGCGTTCGCACAGACACAATACGAACGACGGAATCGGATCCTGGGTGGATCTCCGTGACACGACTGAGGCGCCACTCAGTTGGCGGCCGAGATGGGGCTTCGACAATGACCATGTCGTCGACCTGGAGATTCGGAGACTGATGGAACCATTTTTGACGGGACTGTAGCGTGGACAAGTACTTTCGAGACCACCTCTTCCAGTACGTTTGATGACATTGCCGTATGAGTTGCCATCGATTTAGCCTGTTGATTTTGATGTCAGTTGTATCAGGCTCTGGTAATGCGTAGATCGGTTGTCTGATAAGGAAGTGACCGGGGTCAATGCGCTCAAGTCATGAGGATCAGACGACGCTGGCATAGTCGGCCTAGAGTTGAGGATGCTTTCGATACGCGTGACCAAAGTGTGGAATTCTTCGTATGTTAGTACTTGTTGGCCGATAACATGCTTGAGATGAAATTTAGCACTTTTAATTCCCGCCTCCCAAATGCCACCGAAGTGAGGTGCAGCAGGCAGATTAAAATGCCACGTACATGATAGATGTGAAGGTATTCGGTCTTGTGCAGTAGCATCGCGGAACAAGATTTTGAGTTGTCGAGCCGCCCCTATATACTCGTAATTTGTGCCACAGTCTGAATATACGTTGGCTGGAATCCCACGCCGGGCAACAAAACGGTCAAATGCCGCAAGGAAGGCCTCTGTACTCAGATCAGTGACGATTTCAAGATGGACTGCTTTGACGAATATACATATGAACAATGCCAAATAATCTTTTATTACCTTGGCGTTTCGGCGTCGATGTTCTCTGACGAAGAAGTGGCCACCAAAATTCATTCCGACATGAGAGAATGGTCGATGAGGCTGAACTCGGAACGAAGGCAAGTTGGCCATCATAGGACTTGAACGGACTAGTGACGCGTACACGGGACACAAGAAAAGATAACCTGTCGAACGGCGGCGCGACCGAACAAAATCAAAAACTTCTGGTTCAGCATTGATAAAATTAACTTCGGTCCACCGAAAATAAATGACAAGTGACAGTGTCTAATCAACAATTCCGTGAGAAGCAAGGACCGTGGCAACAAAATCAGGTATTTAGCGTCATGGCGGGCATCTGACCAGCATAAACGACCTCCGACACGAATAACTCCTTTGTTATCGACGTGTGGAGCTAACTGTGCCATGGATGGTGGAGTGACTGTGGACCGAGTTTCCAAAATTTTGAACAATTCCGAAAAATAATAGAGTTGGGTTTGACGTATGACAACGGATAACATGGTATCGCGTTCCATAAATGTGACAGGACCAGAACATATGGGTAGTCGGCGAAGACGGTCCAAAAAACGGAAAACAAAGGACAGGACACGCTGCATTTTGTTGAGTGACGAAAAACGATTAAACACCTCGAACGGCGGTGATTTAACATTAATGGTTAAAGTCGTGATAACTTTGGAACTATGTTCAGGCAGTTGGTCTAAAGATAACGGCGAGAACTGAGACTTGGGCCATTGTTCCTCAAGCAGTCGCAAAAATACTGGGCCATTCCAATAAATGTCCGACGACAATGTGGACCTTGGCAACAATCCAGGAGATGCAGGATCCGCAGGGTTGTCTGTGGTTGACACGTGATCCCACTCACGATCGGGTATGAGCTGGTGGATTTTTACGACTCTGTTGGTGACGAAAATCTTAAAGTACTTCTGATCCGACGTCAACCATGACAGTACAATAGATGAATCAGACCAAGCACGGAGTCGAGATATGGCCCTCTCAGAGGACAGAATGGAATAAATATGATGAAGCGTCTGCGCTAGTAGCAGGGCTCCGCACAACTCTAGACGAGGTATGGACAATGAATCGTTAGTGGCAACACTCTTCACAGGGGCAACTTTAGTTTTGCACGTGATAAATTTGACAGAAATGAGTCCAAAATTGTCGAAAATACGCAGATAAACGGTGGCCGCATAGCCTTCAATAGATGCATCCGCGAAGCCCAAGAGTTGAATGCCTCGTTGATCAATGACCGGGATATGGCGGGGAATCTTCAGATCAAAGATGGCCGGGAGTTCAAAACAGAACTGACGCCATGTCGACAATAACTATTCAGGCAACTAATCGTCCCATTCGAGCTTGTTGCACCACAACAATTGCATGAAGCACTTGGCCCATAGTAGTAATGGGCCTAAGGTACCGATGGGGTCAAATAAGCGCGCAATGATGAAGAGGATCTGACGTTTGGTCGACGAAGTTTTTTGGATGCTGGTATGGTAGGCGAAGTTGTCACTGTTGGTGTCCCATTGTAGACCGAGGACCTTGACTGAGTGTTTATCCCGCGGGTCGAAAGCAATCGAATTGAGTTTATCTTCAGGACGAACCGACTCGAGGACAAAGGTGCTGTTGCTGGTCCACTTACTCAACTCGCACGCTCCACGACGAAGTAGTCCAATAATGTCATGTTTTCAACGTAACAATAGTTCTTCGGAGTCCGCACCGAGGACTATGTCATCGACATAAGCGGCTTGGGTAAGCACACCTTTTGCCAAAGGAAAATGATGACCATCCTGGGCATCAAGATCATGTAAACAACGGATCGCCAAATAGGGCGCGCTGTTCAGGCCATACGTTATAGTGCATAATTGAAATTCTTGAAGCTGGTCGTTGGGCGAGTCGCTCCAAAATATATGTTGAAACACGCGATCTTCGGATCGGATCAGGATTTGCCGGTACATTTTAACGATGTCGGCGGTCAAAATGTATTGATGCATACGGCAGCGAAGTACAATATCACCCAGATCGACCTGCAGCTTGAGACCGGTGCACAACACATCGTTCAAGGAACGGCTAGTCGAGAAAACTGATGAAGCGTCAAAAATAACGCGTAATTTTGATACATCACCGTCGGCCTTAAATACAGCGTGGTGCGGGATGAAGTATTTTCCGGGTTCCGGGGCCGGCACCATATGACCTAACTCGAGATAAGTAGACATAAATTTCTGATAGGCGGCTTGCAGTTCGCGGTCTTTAGATAATCGCCTTTCGAGGTTGTAAAAACGCTTTAATGCAATAGAACGTGAGTCACCCAGACCATGACTTAACGAGTCTAGGCACCGGTCAGATCCACTAAACAAATCGCGGAAAGGCAGCGCTACGCAAAAACGACCTGAAGCATCTCGAGATGTAGATTTCATAAAATAGTCTTCACACTATTGGTCTTCGGTGGTGGGTAACGTTTGCGCAGCAGGCTCTTCAACAAGCCAGATGTTTGGTAGCAAATCCCCAACGGATGGGTCAACGACGGTGGCCAGTATAGCTAGAGGTGCAGTATTAGTTGTGGAGACGGAGACGAAAACTATCCACCCAAATTGTGTATCCAGGGTTGATTAGAGACCAGGAAGATACTCAACACCGGCGTGCGGACGGATGAGAGAAGGCAAAATATCCGCACCAAAAAGAGCGTCAGTACGCGATGGAATGTCGAAGTCCTTATCTGCGAGACATTTTGGATCACCGTTCTTGACCCTCTTCGCCAGTACTGGGAAATCGTCCTGGTTATCAATATTCATCATAATCGCTGTAGGGCGTATCCTTGTTCTCTGCAGCCCAGGTGTTGCCGCTTTGGGCTTCTTAGGCTTTCCTTTCACGACAGTTGTCCAAGCAGAGGCTGGGTCTTTGGCTGGCGGCCCAGCAGCCTCTGCAGGTTGCAGAGTAAGTGCACTAGAGAGTCTTTTATGCTGGTGTTGTAACTGTTGGGTTGGCCTTGCATGAATGCGTTTACCTGCTTTCGTAGTTGTAAGGTCTGGCTGTACTCTAGATCTATCTTTTTTCCTTGCTCCGCCAGTTGGAGGCTGATTGCCTCCAGCTCTGTAAGCTGGATATCGCTGAAGGATTGTTCCTGCGCGACGTTGCTCTGCTGTGACGTCTGTTCCACACGTATTTCTCTCAGTAGCTCGAGCGTCTGCGCGTGTTGTTGCAACTGTTGGTGCTGTAGCATCCTTACCCGCTGTTCCACAGCATCCGGGTTCCTGCCCATGCCTAGTTTTTTGGCAATTCTATCGAATTCTCTAATTGTTACCCCCATTGCTCTTGCCGCTGTTTTTATATCTAGCTTTATGTTAGGGGCCGCTTGAACTGTTGCTTCTAGTGTTTCCATGCGTGTCAATAAGGACTTCAGGAGTTTGATGTACTTTGCCTCTGCTTTTGCTCGTGGTGAGGTACCTGCAGTCTCCTCAGTAGCTTTTCAGCCACTGGAGAGGGCCTGTTTCGCACCCTCTCCGGCAGTAGTTCTACCAGCTCCGTTGCTGGCGGTAAAAGTCTGCCTCAGCACTTCTACTCTTTGGGTACATGCGGGTGATGACGACACCTGGGGCGAGCACCGTCCCCCAACCGCCGGCTCCTGGGTTTTCGATTTCTCTGGAGCAGTAACGTCTTTTCTGTTTTCGTTGCTATTCATGATTGTGAGGTAGATTACTTGTTCGCCACTACCGACGCCAGTCTCGCATCGCCTGCCCTTTGTTCGGTCCGTGCTCCAGATCTACCAAACACCGGTGGTGAGCTTGTCCGCGACCGCTTATTCGTCCAATCCCGAAGGGTATGGCTTATTTCGCGGCTACCCTGCATATCTGCAGGGCGTTCCCCAATCCACAACCTAGGGACGCGCCCGGTGGCATGCTCATGCCCCGACCGGGTCCTTGACTCCTTGGATGCTTTTAAAATGGACGTTGACCTCCGCTACACTCGATGATGACAATCTATACGGCGGCTGTTAAGCAGCAAGGAAAAATGTCTGATTACCTATACACTAGACTATACTTGTAATATGGAATACGTATATCAACCGTATTCGTATATCCGATGGACTGTTCTATAAGATATCGAGAGGAAATTGATTTCTAGTCCGTTTCGATGACCTTTTATATGTATTTGTTCCGTTCTCAGGTACAAGTGGTATATGTGAATAACCTACGGTATTGTATAAATAGTATGTGGGTCGTAAACGGCGACGAACGCCATGCTATCTTTTAAGATTAGTAATCAGTAATCGATTACCCGATAATTTAAAGGCGTAATTAACGATTATGTCTAATTCATTAGACAGCACGGGTGGATTGTACACCGTATACGCTCTCTATTGATAACGGGCATTTATTTTTTCCGCCAAAAATCCGGTTCCTTGATTTACGCACAGCCCTATATCACCAAAAACGAAAAAGGTATGATTCCCATTTCCGACAAAAGTTATTTTTGTGATAAGACATTTGGGAACCATGTACAATTATTACAAATTCTTTCATTATAAATTTTAATACAAGTAGATAATAATAATATAATAGTCGAATATAGGTATAACTATATTAGAGTTTTTAAAGTATTACATAATTTTATATTATAATATTTCCATTCTATTTAACTATTTATAAAGTAAAAAACAAGGAGACTTATTGTCTCGATAGAGTTTTGAAAAAACACATATTGTCATAAATAAATAAATAATTAAATAAATATATTAATTTTACTCGTAGATAAAAAACGTACGTTTCGTTGCAGGTCATAAGCGGATATTATGGGGTGGGGGGGCTTAGACCCCCCAAATATTTTAATAGCTCCCCCCCAAAATCGAAACTTTGTTAGAAATTTTATTTGTTGTTTTTATAATTTATTTATAATTATCTGTTCGTTTTTTTTTTGAAAATCGTAAAATAAGAAATAATAAAAAAACTATTTACAATAGCTTTAACAATAACAATTACATAGTTTGGCTACTTGCGAAAGAAGTTTCAGTGCAATGAAAAAAATAAAAACTTGGCTAAGGACATTGTTGGTTTAAGATAGGTTCAGCAATTTTTTAATACTATATATTGAAAAAGATATATCGAAAAATATAAAAAGCGATGATATTTTAAGTATTTTTGCTAATAAAAATAGTTATTTGTCATTAAAATAAAATATTAATTATTTTTAAATATACGTTATTTAGTATTTTTTTAATACAATTTAAACATATCTATATTTTTAATGGTAATAAGTTTTACTTGTGTATGGAAAAGGGTTGAGCGGGCGAAGCTCCTGTGGGTTATTTTACATTGAATTATTACAGCATCCCAAAAATTCAAATGAATGTTCGCCTATGTTACAGGTATTACTTTTTCTTTTTCACAAATATTGTCCCGACAATTTTTCATAAAACATCTCCACCAAGTTACATTTGTTTATGACGTATAACCAAAAACATATTTAAACCCATCAAAAATCAACATTGTTTTACCTCTTTTACTTACAACAAATTCCATTTTAAGAATGGTAAGTAAGTAAGAACGTTTATGTTCTAGTGACAAAAAGAACAGATACTGAATGGAAATATAAGAATTTAACATTTGTCAAATAAATATTGTGTGCGAATTATAAATAAACTATGATAAAGTACTCGTATACCGAACAGTGTACTGTAATTATCGACGATTATCAGTATATACATTACCAATGTCTTTTACACAAACCACAACATATATTTAATATTTCTTAAAAATTAAAACCAATGGTTTCCAAACTTTTTTTGATAGAAATGGCTTTTGGCGAAAACTGGAATCATACCTTTTTCGTTTTTGGCGGAAAAAGGCTGTCGGAAACGGTCAATATTATTTTGGCGGAAACAGCGTTATTCCGGCATTGTATCCGATTGATATAAAAAGACTACACATAATACAATAGTCGGAGTAATTCTGGCATTGTATTGTCTTATACCATGCGTTCGAGTCCCAGTAAGTTTACTCATCCCCAATTTTTGTATTTTGGTGTATCACATTCCAAGTCATTCAAATAAATAAAATTTTTGTTTTCCATCATCTATTGTTTTTATTAAACGTTCTACGAACAGTCACCTCAACAATAACTATAAAATAACTTTAACTATAAATACTATACCGACAACTTATTCAATTTTTGAAACATCAGTGTTTATGTTCTGGACAAAAATATTATTTTTGAGTTTACTGAATAAGTTTTTGAAAAAGTATGAAAACCTATTACGATTTTTTTGTTATCAGCTAGTTATTTATTTTTGTTTATTTTGGTTTATTATGGAGGGATCTATATTAGAGCATGTTTCATTATCTTAAAAAAATCTAATTTTAATTCGTTGATTGTCTGTTTGTTCAACAAACTTATTTGATACTGTCTGAGATTAGTTTTTCTGACTTGTATCTTATTAATCTTACAGTGAAATGTAGATTGATTTCAATCTTCGGATCTGTAGGAGGAAGGGAAATCGCTGGCAATTTTGTAGATGCTTTCAACTGAGCTAGATTTGAAGGCACCAATGGCTAGACGGAATTTTTTGAGTTTTTTTTTAAAACCACTTCATGTTTTACTACGCGAGCAAAAACGTGTAACCACATGCTTTGGCCAGAGAGACCAACATCATCGCCAATCACAACCGCGGCCCATTTTCTTCATCGACCCATATCCAACTATTTAAACGTCGTCGGTAAACCAAGAGGCATATCTCTTCCACCGAACACTACTACAATAGAGCAACACTCCAAGAGCGTCTAAAAACCATAGAGTAATATAATATTACTCTATGCAAAAAAAAACAGAATTTAACCGTGATGATACCGTGCATGCAGTAGCTGTTATCATTAATATTTCGGTGTGCGTGCAGCGTGCAATAGCATCACAACCCAATACGCGCTTTTTCTAACTCTTGTCTCAGATTCCAGAACAAGAGTACAAAAAGTGAAAGAAGTATGAACTACGAACAGGAATTTATAGGAGCCGGCTCAAATGTTTAATCACACTTAAGCAAACTTAAGTTTGAAGACTCCTGGTTCAACGATGGTTCGGTGTCGGGGGCGGGGATTGCAAAACCCCCCAAATATTCCCACTTATTTAAAATGAATTCTTATTAGTCTTCGATATGTTAAGAAATATAAATGCTTTGGATATTATTATTAATTATTATCTAAAATGTATTGAAGATATTATTTTTAAAGAAAAAATATTTCAATAATATTTAAAATGTATAAACCGAACAAATAAATATTAACGTATGTACAATATACTTTAACTTATCATTGCCCGCTAAAATTATTTGTTATCAATACATCATGTCTGATAATTTTTTAAATATACGAGTATCTTATACATTTTTACTCGCTAGAACGAAGGTCGGTCAAATACGTTAACGATAACG